GGTTTACCCAGGTTGGCCAGTTTTCCCTATGATTTAATCATTAGGAAATTTTGTAGCAAGGTTTTTACAAATATGAAATTTTTAAATTTGGGATTTGATTTAAAGGAGTTCATCTCCATAATTTCATTTTCACTACCTTCTTCACGATCATTAATGTTAATCATCCTACAAATTAAAAAATGTCACATAAAATTGTAATTTAGTTACATTTATATGTAAAATATATTCTTTACTTATTTCATTTTGGTGTTGTTAATTTTTTTTTATCTATTTATCTTAATGTAAATTTTAAATTTTCCAGATTTTTGTTGTCAATATATTTAAAATATGGCGGAAAAAAGAAAGGACATTAATACAAGATTATATTCTTTGATATGTAAATTTTTTAAACATGAATATTAAAAGAATCTATATCTGTTTCTTTCAAGAAAATGGAAAAAATACAAGATTCTTTTCAGAATTAAGGATCTTAGATACAGATACTAGAATCTTATTTAAAAGGTCAAAAAGATACTGAGTATAAGATACAAAAAGATCTTGTATCTTATTTGTATCTCAGATACAAGTATTCGCGGTACTGTCCAATTGACTAATGTATGTAGACGTGATTGACTTTTGATTGACATGATTCAAAATCCGATATAATGCAGCTCTCATTTATACTAGCCAAGAAACCCGATAGTGTAACCTGCCGCATAACCCTTCATAGCCTAGTAGAAAATTTGAAAAACAATGTAGGCTTTATATGAACCGCAAATTAAATATGATACATCTCAATAATTCATTTAAAGCTTATATATTTTAAATTTTAGGCATTAAACAAACTATATTTTAGTGATTATAAATATTACTATTAATCTTAACATTTTATTATTTTATCAGTTTTTCAAATGTCATAAAAGAAATTCGTAAAAGTGATTGACATATGAAATGCTATAATATGAAAAAAAATATATAATTCAAAATTTCTTTTTTAATATATATATTTTTTTTAAAAAATAAATAAAAGTTATATATTCATAAAAAAAATGGATAGTATAGAATGTTTATATAAGGAATATTTTTATAATTTTAATACAATTGTAAAAAAATGTTTTTTTATTGTTATATGTATTTTTGTTACATGAATGATTAAATGGGACCTATTGTCACACAAGTGCTAAACAGTTATACTTCATTTACTACAAAGTGAAAATAAAAATTATTTTACTTTACTTAAATCAGTAGCTAGAAACAAAGTCATTTATGGATTCCTGTTCCATTCCCACTGTACCCATTTTGTTCTGAATAAAAAATAAATTTTATTTTAAAAAAAGTCACATTATAATACTATATTAACTAATAATAATATTATGTGAAGCAAACTGGAATAAGAACAAATATCTATGACTGAGCCATTATAAATATCATGGTTGTGCATTTGACCTGTCATATGATTCGGTCAATTGACCGAAATTTGACCGGTCAAATATGGTCAAATTCAAATAAATGTTTTTAACGCCATTATTAACTTTATTTTGTATATATATAATATTATAATAAATCTATGTAACATTAAATTTCATAATATTTTTTTAATTCATTCTATAGTTGTTTCGTCCTCCATAGAAGAGTCTTGTTCCGATTCATAGATAATATCATTATTTTCTCTAATATTTTTAATCAATCTTAAATTATGGTATACTCTTACCAATTTTCCTATCGTAGAAATCTTCAAACGATTCTGTTTTTCGTATGAATATTTCCCCAAACCGACCAATTTCTTTCTGATGAAGAAGTTGAACTAGGAAATGTTAATAAAATATTGGCTACTTTTCTTAATGGGCAAGGTAGGCAAAGTGCATTCCACCAACTTGAGGCCGAAATCTGATGTTTCTTATGGAAATTACCACTTTCCACATATTTTGGCTATTAAATATGCCGCTTTTAAAATTTATTATAACACTTAAAATATTTTGATTATCACCCTGTAAAATACCTAATTCTTGTATCATATTACACGTTTCATCAAATTCAATTCTAGTAAGGTGCTTCCCTTGATATTGAGGGTCCAATAAATAAGCTGCATTGTGGGCACATGTATTTAGATCATTTCTTCTCTTTTCAAACATAACTTTAATTTTTTTTTCTTCAGATAGAGAAAATATAGAATTATGGCATGATTGTATTATGTATTTTTCCAAATTAAGCATTTCGTTTTTTACATGAGCTAAGGTACATTTATCCCCTTGCACTTTCAACAATGAGGTAGCTAAAGGTTTAAGTATATCTAAAAATTTTAAATTTTTTGTCCAAAATATTTCTTCATCTAATATATTATTTGTAATCTCTATAGGACAGATATCACATATAGCTTCTTCGACAACTGATGCTTTAAGTGCCTTTTTACATATTTGTATTCGCTCAATACATTTTATTGACGATCCCCATCTTGTTTGGCTAAAATGTAGATGGTATACCATGTTGATTCCTATTACGGGAAAATACTAATCGTCCGAAATCGTGAAAGAATAACTGCAAAGTATGCGCTGCACAACCATAACATTGTATATGATTATAAATAGATTCAGATTTTAGAATTCTCCAGGCTGCTTTCATGTTAGCGGCATTATCAGTAACTAAAGAATATATTTTTACCGGATTCAATTCATGAATTATATTTTTAAATTCCTTGGCAATATAATCTGCCGTATGACGATTTTTCTCAGTATTTAAAAATTTGTAGAATACTGGAACAGGCGTCATCACCATAAAATTAATAATACTCTCGTTTCTGATGTTGCTCCAGCCATCTGATACAATTGATAAGTGAGGAGATTTATCTATTATATCTGCAACTCTCGCCTACATATCTCCTGAAGCTTTGTCTAATAGATAACCAGCCAGCTGCCTTCGCCTGGGTAAAGTGTAAATAGGACGTAATTTTTTAAAGAATTCTTGGATGTAGGGATTTTCAGATGTGGAAAGGTAAATTGCTCGCATATACAGCCTTTGCAAACAATTGATCTAGCTCAATTTTTTCTTTGGGATTAATTCTATAAAACTGGTTATACAAGATTGAGTTGCATTTAATCGCCTTGTTTGTAGATTGATTGGAGATAATGGAATCAAATTTTCTTGAGTCACAAGACAAAATATTGTCAATTTGATAATCATTCTCGATAATTTCACCCTTTTCTTCGTAAGAGCTAGAAGTATTACAGACTACATTTATGGGATTTTTTGTAGAGGTTGAAATTTTGGAATTTGAATTAAATTTTTCCTTAATTATGGCAGGGCACATAGTAGAGCTGCTTAAATGCTTGACCATTCTATCAACGTGGGTAATATAGGACATCTTGCAAAACCTGCATACCGCTTTAACTGATTTTCCATCGCTTACTTCTTTAAAATGTTTCCAAACTTGATGCTTTGGTTTGACCATAATCTCTAATATATAAAAATTTAATTTAAAAAGATTTTGATTATTATAAAGTTAATCAAACTTAATTTTTTATAATTATCTCTAATTATTTCAATAATTTGGTTTAATATTATAATATAATATAAGAAAATATATAACATTTTACCAGAATTGAATAAATTATTTTGTAAATCTGACCAGAACAAATAAAAAGAAAATTAATTTTTATATTCAAATGTAGCAAGTGGAAGTAAAATAAATGAGAAATAATATAATTTATACTGGGCGAAATATTAAATAAATTTAAATTTATAATAAACCATGAGCTAAATTATTGTATTTATTTATTTTAGTAACAAAAAAAATTCTTTTGTTTTGGATTATTTATCATGCAAGTATATTGAAAATAGATTGTAACTTAATAAGATTGATAAACATGCTTTTAATGCATACTAGTTAATTTATCAAAATATTTTAGAGTATTTGACCGGTCAAATACTCCTCCGGTCAATTGAGCGACATGCCAACCCTTATAAATATTATGTAACAAATTTAAATTTTATTATAACTTTTCCTGTAATGTTCTTATTCCATCATTTCCCCCAAGCTCCCGCCATAAATTTGTTATTGAAAAATGCACATCAATATACTTAAAAAATTTTAAGTATTCACAATATAAAATCCTTTTTTTTGGGGGGGGGGGGGGGGGGGTGCTCATAAATTCTATTTAAGCTCTCATGGGTTAAATTATAAAATATATCGTATATTATGCTATTGTTTTAAGTCAAATATCACATTGTTTTGCCATTATAATAAAAAGACCTTATTATTAGTCTCAGGGTTGGTTGGTGATGTTAGATTCTATCCTCTCGTTTTATAACATGGTAGATCTCAGTCGTCACTAGTGGAGGGGGGGGAGCCAAGGGACTCGAGCCCCCTGAAAAATGTGAAGAGCCTCATCAAAATTTTAAGGTAATTTAGGATGGTAGCTATTTTAAAAAAAGGGAATTTTATGTAGCTAAAAAAAAGGTTATTCAGGATAATGTTAGCTAAAAAAAAGGTAATTTTATAATTTTAGATCATGTTAGCTAGGAAAAAGGTAATTTATGATAATGTTAGCTAAAAAAAAGGTAATTTTATAATTTTAGATCATATTAGCTAGGAAAAAGGTAATTTATGATTATAATTTTAGATCATATTAGCTAGGAAAAAGGTAATTTATGATAATGTTCGCTAAAAAAAAGAAGGTAAACCAAAATACTTATATTTATCGGGAGAATTAAATTTAGTAGCCCACACGAACATGATTTTAATTCAAATTTTAGTCATATTTTTTATTATCTGAGCGAGTCTTATTATTTTATTAAAAGAAAGTCATGAGTACAGGTCCATTGACACCTTTTCTTAGAAAACAGACAAACTTGGCTAATATAGACAGCTATATTCCTTCTGGATATAAAAAGTTGGAACTAATCAATTATTTAGAAAATTTATTGATTTCAATTTATCTCTGCTTTTTTAAATACCAAAACCTAAGATATATCTATATTTTACGATTAAATATCTACTTATTTTCAAAATAACAATGTTATTATAGAATATCACTCTTCCACTCAAGTCTTTTCTTCACAAATCAAGAATTCGGAGTCATCAGACCTTAGTCATTCTATAACACATTCAGATACACGAACAAATATATACCCAAAAACTAACAAAGAAAACTCCGAGTCGGGTGGCGATGATAAAAGGGAATTGGAACGTGCCAAAGTCGTTAAAAAGGATAAAAGAAGGAAAAGACAGCATAAAACGCGAAATCATAAATGAATTGTATATAGCCTTTTAATAAAATCATTTACATGGACTAATAAGTGTGAATGTATCCACGATTAGTCCTTTAAAATATTTATTATTAATGTTTTAAATATGATTGCCAATATGTGATATATCATTAAAAATAATTTTTATTACGACTTTAATAATAAAAATTTATAACATAAAATTAAATGTTAATTTTTATGAAATAATATTTCTCGTTAGATAATATATTCATTTCCCTTGGCAAGATACCTAAATCAGATAACCTTAAAATCTATCTAAAGTATATACAACTTGAAATAAAAGTATCGATTTAATTATCACTACTCCACATTATTTAGTCTGTCAAAACTTAATAGCACCTCAAACTTCTAATGCTGATCAAGGTAATAAATATAATTATACTGTTGAATCAATATTTTAACCTTAGCCCTCAATCTTCTAGTTCTGTTTCCACAGACCATCAAACTTTTATTTCAATATGCCTTCATTATATCCTTTAGGGATAGAGAGTATAAATATTTTTAAGGTATGAGGTAGGAAGTATTTTTTCTCTCATATAGACGTTAATAAGAAATAAAAAATAATTTATTAAAAAATTAAGTAAACTACAATGTTTCCTTCTCAAAATATAAATAACCTAAATTTTAATTTTCCTTGGGGGCAATTTAAATTCATGATTTCTTATACATTAAAATTTTTTATGCTTAGCTATTATCTTCATATCAAGTTTATTGTTTTAACTTTGTATACTAAATTTAATAGAGATTAGGCAAATTACTAGTTAATTAGATAAGAAATATTCTTCGTGGTTAAATTTTATAAGGAATTTAAAAATATAAATCGAAAAGATTTTTCTTTAAGAGTAATTTAATTATTTATTTAATATTGGCAATAAAAAAAAAATAATATACAATTTACATTATTAATTTATTATAATTTATATAAAGCGTAATATAAAATATATGATATAATAACGATCAATATAATAGTAAATTTCATTAATATGTCAATTTAAAAATTAATCACATTTGTTAGTATATCTTTTAAGGATAAATAATAATATATTTTAATAATATAAATAAATATATAGTAAATTGATATAATAAATTGAGCATATGATTTAAAAGAATTATGAGTTTTCATAGTTTGCCCTTCAGTTTTTCTTCTTCCATCTGAATATTCCTCTCTTGTTCTTAATTGCTTTTCTCATCGCCGATTCTGTGATTAAGGTTTGGTTCTTTTGTTGACTTCCATCTGAATATCCCTCTCTTGTTCTTAATTGCTCTTCTCATCGCCGATTCTGTGATTAGGGGGTATCAGTCATTGAGAATATGAAGCTGAGGTAATTGGATTATATTATATTGAGGGCTAATCTTTGGCGTAGGTAGTAACCCTCGTTGGGATCTTCGGTCCTAGTAGAGATCCGTTTCCCCAGCTCTTTAAAGAAAGCCAGGGCATGAGAGCCGAACGACGTTAGAGTCGAGCTGAGGTAATTGGATTTTATTATATTGAGGGCTAATCTTTGGCGTAGGTAGTAACCCTCGTTGGGATCTTCGGTCCTAGTAGAGATCCGTTTCCCCAGCTCTTTAAAGAAAGCCAGGGCATGAGAGCCGAACGACGTTAGAGTCGTGGCGATTAGTGGTAGGAATGTGTAATTGGCCGGAAGCGATGGCGAATACTTAGCGAGTTTATTCGTCTTGGCGTCTACTAGAGCATCTCTATTTATATTGGAAGGGGCAAGGGGATCGATGCATGAGAAATACCAGGTTAGAAATTCCCCCCTCTTCCAAGGGATCATGGTAGAGCCATCGGGACGCTTACCATCAGAATTGTAGAGTCCAGTAGGTTCGAGGGTTGATGGGATACCGGCAGATTTTAGGGCCCTGGCATGCATTTTGAATGTCTAATGAATCTGCCTCTACAGCGCTTGCAGTGTAAAGAGTGACGGCCTTTGGAGTTGACCGGCGTTTGACAAAGGATGCAGTGATAGGGTATTACCATATCACAATTAAGTCTTAGACCGATGGCGTGACGTAGCTCATCATTGCTTAGGAGCTGGTCAAGGTTTCGCGATGGAAAAGCTTCGAGAAATTCATATCCGCTGTCTGCGGAAATGGAGAAGAGTAGAGAATGGTCCTCGGGTTGGCTCCTCGATTTAAGGTATGCAACGAAGTTGCTAACTAGAGGCTTATCCCAGTCCTTCTGCAGTGCCGATGAGGGAGGATCGACTAATGAAAGAGATTTCCATAGATCAATTGCCTGGGGAAGTAAAGGGTAAGGATGTTTTGTGAGTGCGTGTATGATGGGCTCGCAGGACAGGCGAGAGGATATGAACGCACTAAAAGAGAGTAGGGAAGGCGATCGTATGCCAATGCCGCCGGATTTGGTTGGCAAGGTAGCTTGTAGCCAAGGTAGGTCTCCGAATTTGAGATTGAGTATATCCTCTGTGAGGTGTTTAATCTCTAGCTCGTGTGCAGCGAGGTTGACGTCGTATTGGAAGATACGTGATGATCGGAGTGTATATAGAATTTTTGGGATTAGGAGGTAGTTCTTTAATAGAAAGAACGCTTGGTGGGCTGGGAGGCGAGATAGTGTACCGCGCATAAGGGATATCTCTAGTAGAGTGTCGGCGAAGAACTTGACAAAGGACTCGTCTTTACCCACTGGAGATCCGAGATGTGTTAAGAAGTTCAATGGTGTATGATTGAACATTGGATTATAGTTGAGGTCGATGATTCCAAGAGGACAATATTCGCTCTTGTCTTGATTGAATCGCAGTCCCAAACTGCTCTCGCTGAATTTTATTATTTCGACCGCCTTCATAACTTCGCTGGGTGAGCCGCCTAGTATACCATCGTCGATATACCAGTTATGAAGGTTTAGTTTACATTGATCATTTATGCCTTGTATTAGGCTATTAATGCCCAGACAGTATAAAAAGGAGCCTAGAGGGTCACCTTGTTGTATTCCACTATTAGAAGGAATCAATTTATCTCCAAATTGAAGATGCGATGGACTAGCATAACAATCGAAGATGAATTGCGAGTATTCTGGGTAAAGGGTAAGGATAGGATTAAGAAACGCTGTACGTTTTAGAGAGTTAAAAGCGTTTGAAAAATCTATCTTAATTAGGATATCGTCACTGGGGTCTGTTTGTAGATACATTCTGGTTATGTGTAGGGATACCTCACATCCCCCTTTTACGTTGACTCCTAATTGATTAGGGCACAGGTGATTGGATACTGTGAACAATATTCTGCTCACTACTAGCTTTGCGGTTAATCGGCGCCAAGTGGTCCCAATAGCGATAGGGCGAATATCTTTATTAGGTTTATGGAGGGCGATGAGTTTAGCTCCATAAAGGAGTGGAATAATGGCGGGTGGTAAGCCTCCAGCAAGCATACGGTTGATAAGTTGAGTAATTTTTTCCAAAACGTCGCATTGTTGTGTGATATAAGGTGCGGTTAGATCCTGTAGGAATATTGGGCGAAACCCATCAACCCCCGGTGAAGAACCGCGTTTGAAGGAGAGGATAGCCTTTCTAACCTCGCTTGAGGTAAAAGTGGTTGCAATTAGAGGAGCTTCGGGGTAAGACGGTATTTCGTCCTTAAGATCGTGTGGGTGGTGTTTTAGGAGAAGAGCTTGATAAGTTGTTTGATCGTAGGGAGCTAGCTTATTGTCAGATGTTGCCAGTCGTATGGAGGATTTAACATTCAGGTTATCCAGCTTTTTAGATATAAGCTTGACCTTGGTGAGTAGGTCGTTTTTGTGATTTTTATCAGTGTCATCACCTTTAAAAGATGTGGAAAAGTGATTAATAGGTAAGGGGTAGATAGTAGCATCCTTGATTTGCTGTGTCAGAGATTTTTTGCTGGCAGGATCAGGAACTTGCAAGGTAGTAAAGGCAAATGACAGGGTGTCTAGCCCAATGACATATAATAATACCTAGACTGACGATTCATTCATTAAAATGCATTTTTAAGCGTGTTAAAAGCAAATCAGCTGAACCCCCCATTTTGGTAACCTTTATAATAATTATTTTCATGTTAAAAACTAATATTAAATTGATAACTTACTTTCTTATTATCTAGATGATCAGGCAATTCTTTAATAAAGTTTGCATCAGATATAGGATAAAATTAGGCTCTCGTTTAAAATTTTAATATTTATTACAGTAACCAAGATGGCGTCTTAGCTGATTTGTATTGATGTACACTTTTAATGAATGAATCGTCAGTCTAGGTATTATTATATGTCATTGGTCTAGCCAGTGTTTTGTGGAAGAATAATTATTTATCAAGGAAGTCAAGTTCTTTGAGAGGTGTTTGGCAACTTGAAGTCTTGCTCCAATAGGTATTCGTGAAATCACAAATGGTTTTGGTGTGACTAAAAATATTTCTGTGGAGTCGGTTGGATTGAAAGTGAGAGCATTTTCGGCGGTTGAGGTGGGGACTATTGGGCTAGTAGGCACATCAGTCAACGTGGGAATGGTAACTATAGGTTATGCGAAGGCAAGGGCAGAAAAGGCATTTAGGGTTCGAGGGATAGCTGGTGATAAAATGGGAAGCCCAGATTGAGGACATTTTATCTTCTGGTTTCGATGAGATGGCAATAGCCCCAATTTGGTTACTTTAACGAGTTTATTACATAAAGGGCAGTTAGATTTGGTAGAAGCTGTGCTGAGGTCTGGTATGCTCATGAATTAAAATTTTTTTATCAGTTTAAGAGTGAAAATGTTGGATTTTATTTTTATCTACAAATATGGGTTTCTTGTGGGTTGGTATATTAAGGAAGTTTAATGAGTTATTTTTTTTGATTTTTGATAAGATTTATTCAATATTTGAGGTTTGATTATGGAAGATGATTTACTCAGAGTATAATTATGTACAAGTGATCATATAGAAATCCCACTTTCAATATCATTTTCTGGATAAATATTTGGTGAAATATTTTTAACTGAATAAATGTTTGGCAATTTTTGATAAGATTTATATAATATTTGAGGTTTGATTATGGAAGATGATTTATTCATAGTATAATACGAATTATTTGATATTCGATTCGTATTTTACGAATAACACAATTATTCGATTCGAAATTTCGAATCGAATATGAATAATGAGGAAAATTATTCGTATTATTCGAAATTATTTATAAATAAATATTCGTAATTATTCGCAAATATTTTATTGCAAGTAAAATAAAAAGAAGTAATTAAATTTTCCTAGTGGATATCATTTCGTTTTATTTTATTTCCTATTATCAAATATCAAATCATAACAAGTTATATTTGCTGAAAGTTTAATGGAAGAAAAGGAAAAGCTTCAAAGTAAAATATAATTATTTTATTTTGATTGTTTCTCTTTAATCATTTTTGATGTTATGAACAAGTCAAAACATTTTTACAGAGTGTGCCTCTTTCCCATATTCTCGAGCTCATGGCAGATAAATAACTAAATTTTTTTGACTAGTTCTTATTATTTGATTAGGAAAATCCTTTTCCCATTTAGTAACCTTATTTTTGGCAAATTTTAAAGACAATCTAATTCAGATAATGCATTATAATATCTTCATCCTCAATTACATTGTCATAATCACCTCTAAAAATTATATTAATAATTAAATAAAGGAAATTTATGCTACTAAAGTATTTTTAATAAATAAAATCTATAATGAAATACTTTCTAAAATTTTGTTATATTTTATACGCAAAAATGACAATTAGTTTAGAGAATCCTTAAAAGTGTCATCTTTAAACATCTGTAAAATTTTTTTTGCAAAATATTTTATAAGCTTTAGAAAAATTTTCATATCGAATCGAAACAAATAATGATTTTATTATTCGTACGAATACGAATAGCGCAATTATTCGATTCGTTTTTTTGTAGGCCTAAGAGTAATATATATATGGTTTATGATTAATTTTTTTAGAAAAATCAAATATATAAAAAGCGAAGCGAACCGTTATAAATTCTAAACCGTACCAAATAAAAAAAACCGAAATGGAACAAAATCTTTATAAAATTATAAACTAAAAACCGAACCGCTATACTTAACGGTTCGAAACTCTGGTTTAAATAATTTGATTTTTTTAGATCAATATATCTCATAACATGGCAAATTGGTCACCAAAGAAATCGGTATAAATATTGGTGTTAATTTTTTTTTGATATTAAACATTTAGTAAATAAAATTGAGATTTTTATTTAAAAAAAATATTAAGAAATAATTAATGGGACCAACATTAAAAATGACTTTTATTTAATCATCCTTTTGTTTTATATGAATAAATTTCAATTGTATTAGATATGAACCGAATTGACGTAAAGGACTCAAAATTCTAACAAAAACAGTAAAAAAAAAGTAATGGTCAAAGAAAAATCGGGCGGCACAGCTAATATTGATTATTTTTAAAGATAATCGGATAAGCTCATTATCATTTAAAACGCGAATAGATTAGAATAAAATATATTTTATTTTTGGTACATCCTTTTTTATAAGATTTCAAATAGTAAAAGGAACAATGATTGTTTTTTTTTCTAAATATTTTATTAGTGATGGGAATCAGGTTAACTTGGATTAAACCTCAAGGTTAAAGAAAGTTATAAAAAATTAACTAAGATTTTTGGCGTACCCCCAATCACTTATAACTGTTTTTATTCAAATAAATATATTTTGAAGTTGATTCTATAATAATTTAAATAAAATATTTTTAATCAAAAATATTAATTTTAAGTTTGCAATAAGATTGATATTAATATTATATAAATATGATTTCCTAAAATTTGCAACGAACATACCTAGAAATTAAAATGGAAAAACGCTTTGGAATACTTAATTATTATGGGAATATACTCATTTCATTTTTAAAATGAGTAAAAAAATAACATTAATTGACAATCATTGCTTTAAACATTTTAATATTGGATCAGATCAAAGTTTCAAGTTGAACAGCCCTAGATTTATGTGGCAAAAATATAGCTAATACTTAAAATGAACACTCCATTATATTTTTTATGAAATAAAATTCATCTTACCCTTATTACTTTCGTGACCACAAATCTAATTGGATATATTGTAAAATTCTAGTGAATATAGTTTTAAAAAAAATTGGTACAAACAGGGTTTTATATAAAACTTATTACTTATGAGTCAAGAAACTATTTACAATATATATCAAGAAAATATTATGATTTTTTTTTCTGAAATAATATATATGTATTTATAATATCTATTAAAAAAATAAGGATCAAATGATATTTATAAAATGTGTTTAAAAAAACAATAATTTTAATATTAAAAGAAAAAATAATGGAAATATCCAATTTCTAAATTTTATCAGAATGTTTTTGGATGTAGTTCACTGGATGCTTGTAAATTGCTTGGCTTGATGTCTAACCCTTTTTTCGTACTCCATTCTGTTGGAGCTGTTTTTATATATAATATATGAATTTTATATTCTATTATTGTTTACATTTAATATATATTTTAAAAAAAATTATATAAATAAAAAATCGTGTATTTTAACAGAGTAATGTTCCTAAAATTTAATGCACGTTATTTTTTCAGTAAAGTTGGCATTACTTAAAAACATAATTTTAACTAATGTTGTTAAAAAAACTCGATTTTTAAAAACGACTATACCAATACTAGTCAAAAAATGTTATGAAAGCTTGGAGATTTTGTTCAGGAGATTTTGTTCATAGATGACAGAAAGGGTTAGACATCTATTAAAGAAATCTTGAGACTTGTGTAATATTATTTTGTCTAAAATCTTAATTCAAAATTGGCTAAATCGAACCGTTTAATACTATTCAACAAAAAATGTTTAAAAACAATATAAAGCATTTTATGCGTTAATTCCGTGTATCAGTGGTGTACCCTAAGATCAGCTGGGTTAACAATCTAAGGAACTAGACTAACGAAATTAAGAAAAATATTTTAACAGACCAGACTGGCCTGGCACTTAAGATTTACCAGTATATGGTGTAAGCGTCAGCTTGGGCTGGATCCTTGATATTTGGTTCATTTAGCAAATCTTGAATACCCAATAATATCTGTTTTAAAAAATAATTTATAAATTATAATAAAAATTTCGAACTCCCAATTTAGTCTTAAGTTAAAGTATCGTAATGTTCAGAGGCAGTGCTGATAAAAAACTCGATTTTGACGATTCTTAAAATAGGTAATTCAAAAAAACTAATATTACCAGAAACTTTCAAGATTTCCCTGCAAAAGATTTGGTTCTTTTTTAGTAAATCTCAAAGCTTATGTAATCTTTGTTTTACTAAAGTTTTTTAAAAATAAACGAAATCAAGGTTTTTAAACATTAATCGGAGGATACCTTCCGCTCCCTTATAAAGTAACCATATTAATTGATCATAAAACTATAGAAAAGGCCCATTTCGATCATTTAGGGCTGCAATAGGCCTCATGAAGGCCCACTTAGATCACGTAGATGCTTTCGGCCTCATGAATTGGCAAGTTGGCTCAAAAAATATTGTGTTTTCTTCTATTTTTCCTTGTTAAAGAAAGATAATCGGTTGCAAAATATTTCAGCATTTCCATAAAATATTTTGATTTTATATTATAATAAATTCAATGCCCCCCCCCCAACGCCACTGAATAGATTATACCTAAAAAGAAATTATTCTATTATTCATATTTTAAGAATATTAAAATTACTTGATTCGAAAATTTGAATTGAATAAGAAGAATATATTTTTTAATAAATCATTTTTTATTTAAAAAAATATATAACGTAAAAATATTTTTAAAAAAACAAATATATTGAAATTTTAAAAAAAATTAAAGGAGAATGCTAAGTAAATAATTCGGGCCAAGAATTTTTAAAATTAAATAATTGAACCGAATTTTGTGATAGCAATATTTTGTTTTAGTTTATAAAGAGATATATGATTTTTTCCTTATGGATATCGAAATCGTAGATTCAAAGCGGCTTGCCTAAATGAGCAGGATGATGTAGCTAAGATGAGGAGAAAGTGGTTATCACCCATCAGGTAAGAATATTGGCATTTTAATAACTAGCCCTGAGAAAAGAATCATGTATATTATTAGAAGGGGAAAAGATGCAATAAAATCCCAGACCAAGGGTTTGCCTGATACAAATGGGACTATAGTTCTGTCGTCAGCGCGTTTTTTATCTATGCTGAAGGTGGGTTCAGGAATGTAAGGGAGATTTGTGATACTTAGAAATTTAGCAGTAAATGCATTTATTTTGTTATTGGATTAATTTTTGATATGAATTTACAATGGAGTGCATGCATGACGTCCAAAACAGTCTGAGGCCTGATTACATTTGTTGTAGTATTGGTTTTAAATTGTTATGCCAAGGCGCAAACTGATTGCATAATGAAAAGTCGGCAGCTATAGGTTGATTATTTAAGATAACGGGATAGGAATCGAGCCATTCTTGGCCGGAGTTGTCGCAATTAAGCACACTGAGGAGGAATTTGTATTGGTGATTATCGCTCATGAAATAAGAGAAGGAACGAGATACCAATCCTAGATCCCAGTCTTTTTGCTTTGATCAATCTGGTGGAGGTGTATTTGGCAAGGTATTGATGTCCCAGCAATTTAAAGCTTCGTCCATCAAACAATCATTATCAATTGAAATGATTTGGGAAATAATTTTTTTATCTATTACTCGAAATATTAAATATTTGAAATTATTCTTAAGTATTTAACATGTTCCTTGTGAAACTTTTTATTTTTTTGATTTTTTCCACATCAAATCTTTTTTTAAACTTGAATAATCAAATTTAATTTTCAAATCGAATATTCGGCGAATCAAATCGAGTGTTTATTATTCTTACGAATAGAAAATTATTCAATTTATAGGCATAGTAGAAATGTACTAAATCAATTTTTTTATTTATTAACACTCTTATATGTAGAATGTAAATTTAATTAGGGATTTTAAAAATTTATTTTTCAAAAATAATAAGAAAAATATGCTTACAAAATATAAAATTGGATTATCAGATTTATAAAAAATAAATATGTAAACACATTGATTATTAAGCATAACCCCTTTTTTAAAAAAAATAAACATTAATATATTTATTTTTTAAAAACTGACTAAGAATATGCCAGATTCCGTATCATATCAATACCGCGAAATGCATTATAGCGAATGCATTATCGCGAAAAGATATTATAGTGAATGCATTACAGCGAATGTATTACCGCGAAAGCATCTAACGAATGTATTAGAGCAAAGACATTACCGCGAATACTTTATCGTGAATGCAATATCGCGAATGCATTACAGCGAATGTATTATCACGCATGCAATAGTGATTTATATTTGACAAATGGTTGATATAATTAATAGAGGTATTTAAATTCTTTACTACTTATCCACTTACTTTCTAATAAGGAGTTCATCATAATGTATTTTTAAATATAATTCTTTAGATTCTCTAATTAATATATTGCAACTCATTAGCAGGTTCAGACCTTTTTCAAAAAACCAGAAATTGATGTTTCTATATTTATTTAACGTAGTGTTTTTAAATTTTAAAAACTCTAAAACTGTCACTTGCTATTTAAGAAATTTAATAATTAGATTGTCGTTTTTTAGAAAATTTAAAATACTAATATTTGACAAAAAATAACTTAAGACCTTCATTTAATTTATTTATATAAAAATGGGCTAGAAGTGTTCCCAATGTGTTGATCTACAGCCGGACGTCACCTTTTTTTCAAATTTTTTTCGTAATAATAAATTATAATGCAAAATAATAAATTAATCTATTCTTTTTTTTTCTTGTATAACACCTAAAAATAAACGCCAATTTGATTATTTCTTGAGAAGTTATGGGCCACATTTTATCAATTTTTATTTCAAGTCTGTAAGATTCAAAAGATTATAACCTTTTCGGTATATGGAACCCGTATTTTGAGTTCTCGTTAAAGCTTGTTGATTCCACTTTTTTCTATAGAATTCAGGAATTATACTTCATTCCAATTTTTCTTCTCATGGCATAATTTTATTGTCTTTAAACAAATAATTAGAAAAAAAGACTCGTCAGGAAGCAAGAATCAATTAAGGAAATCATTATTCTATTGTTTTTCCCAATTCCTGAGTCACAATAGTCGCAATTACATCATCAGAGATTACATGAATTAAGTTCTGAGATGTGTAGCCATTCAATTCGACAATTTATCTATGATGCTAAATATTTTTGATGTCTTGTTGTGTTAAGCTTTGACCTTTTCTTTTTAATTAAGCAATAAGAGAACTTTATACAAATTTATTATCAAAATATGCTTAAGTAAATCCCTTACAATTAAAGCATGTTTTGTAAAAGAATAATATAAATGATTTCCGAGAACTAACTATCTGTTTGGCTCAATGTTTTAAATAGGATTTTTCTTAGCGCCTTGCAAATTTAATTTATTTCAGCCAAAGCTCCATCCAAAATTTTTATTTATTTTAGCCTAGCCATTATTTTAAATTTTAGTCCTTGCCTGTCCTGTCCCAAATTTAATTGAAAAATATAACTATACGATTTAAACTATCGATATAAAAAATTAATTCCAAACTATCAATCAATATAAAAAATTAAAACCTTTACCCTAATCCTAGAGAAATCTATTTTATTGCTTAGAACTTTTTTATATATTTTGAGTCAAAAAAATTTAAAGCCTTAGTCCTATTTTCAAGAAAAATGTTTTTAAACCCATGCTTGACTTTAACTTAATTTCCAGGTTCAACTATGTCTGTCTAAAGGCCGATAAATAAAAATTGTAATTTTCATCAAACTCCATTCCCGATATTGTAACTGATGTAATTTATTTAAGATAATGCATTCGCGCTAATACATTTGCGATAACGCATTGGCGATCATACATTTGCGTTAATGTTCGCGCTAATGCAGTCGCTACAATAAATTCGCATTATTATTTTCGCGATAATTCATTTTCTATAATGCAGTCGCGGTAAGGCTTTTGCTGCAATGCATTCGCTATAATACATTCGCGATAACACTTTTGCGGTAATACATTAGCGCTAATTCGCTATAATATTTTCGCTTATTATATTCACTATAATATTATTTTGCGGTAATCGACATGCGGTAATGCATTTGCGATAAAACATTTCGCGCAAAATTTTCGCGGCATTGACATGTAACCACCAGATTTAAATCTGGGAAGATTTGGGCCCAGTCTAGCACATTTCTAATGAATAGAATAAATAAAAATTATTAAATTATCAGTTACTTTGGAATATTTAAATTATGAAAAGGGAGAATAAAACAAATATCTTGATTTTGTGATATTATTTCCTAATTCTAGATCCAAAAAAATCGATTTTATCTTAGAGCCAACCAATGAAGGTCATATAAAAAGGAATGAGTTGTGAAATATAAGAAAAAAAACCTGCTTAATGGAGAGTGCAGGCCTCCAATCTTTTTCTTCGTCTAAGAGAGACAAACAAACAGTTCCAGAGGGGTATACGTTGGGATGGAAGAGGGGCGGTTCAAATTTGCACTTAGGCGGTGTAGACGGAAAATCGTCTTTGAATACCATCCTTAGCTTGAATAGGCCTCCTTCCCAGGGGGTACTCTTTTTCCCTGGTATGGCGCATTCCCAATTCATTAGGTTTAAGGTTCCATCTGTATTTTTTACAGGTTTAGCTACAAATCCCTGAAAAAATGAAAGTATGGATATAAACTTTAAAAAAATATATTATTGCTCATATAGCATTTACAAAATAATCATATTTACTATACTACATGTATATAAAGTAAATATAGACGGTGTCACAATCACTTTAGTTATTTGCCAATATTTTATTGGAAATTGAAATTGGTATTATTTAATCAGTACAATAATAAAATTATCAGTACCATTTTTAATTTAACTATGAGCATTATAAAGAATTCAAAATCCTAGGGTCAAGTTCTATAGCCAGTAAATATATATTTTTATAGTATTTTATTAAATCATTAAATTATTCTTTCCCTATAAACATTTTAGAAGCTGATACGATATTAAATTTTTATGGGTCAATTATCAATCTAATATCATATCTGATTTTATCCTTTATACAAATTTACTTTATTATATCAAAAAACCAGGGATGTGAACCCTTCGACAAAAAAAAAGGGTCCGGGTTCGGGTCTGGGAATAAATTTAAAAAGGACCCGGGTCCGGGTTCAGAGGAAACATAAAAATAATGACTCAAAATAAGACTTTTTTTCATTCATTTTTTATTATACTTCAATATATACACATTTATAATTCGAAATGAGATAATTTATATTTTAAATATTTTATTCAATCGCACAATCATGATATCTTCTAAAATATCATCCTTCAGATTTCCACGTAAATTAGTCAACGATGAAAATCCACGTTCTACGCTTACCTAAAATAGATAGTCATTTCTATAATACATAAATTATTGTCCTTGTGTCGCCGGTACAGCCATGACGATTCTAGAAAAAATATATAATTCTGGATATATTGAAGAATTTTTCTCCCAGAATTTTAAAATGTTTGCATCTCTATTTATTCTCATAACTTCCGAGAACTTTTCTATTAAAGATACAATAGATATTTTTTGCTCCTTTCTATCAGATGATGATTTAATTTTTTTTTCTCTATCTAATAGTAAAATTTCCAGATCATCAATATCGTTATCATTATAATTGTTATCGCTACAACCAGTAGATATTGTTGTAACCACCAATGTATTGTAAATAATAGAGTTTTGGGTATGCCATAAAAATCCGATAAACGTAATTGTTCAGCTTGCACACTTAATGTTGTTATTTTTAAAGGAACCAGCACACTAGTAAGCTCTTTTACTTGATTCCAATCATTTTCTGAAAAAATGATTTCACATGCTCCTATGATAAAATCATTACAGAAATCTTTCAAACTTAATAATCGCTCTAGCATCATACACATAGAGGACCAACGTGTTGTGCAATCTAAAATTGCCATTTACCTTTTCATGGATTTTAATATTCTAACAATTGTGGGAGTTCTTAAATATTTTACAACATCCCTTGCTTTATCAATTATAGTTTTAAAGTGACTATTTTTTAGGGAGATTCCACGAAAAAAATTAATAAAATTTTATATTATTTTTTAAAAATTATATTTTTACATTAATTAAAAAAAAAAAAATTTTAAGTTAAAAATTTTTAACACCCTGAACCCTTGGACCCTCCACTTTTTAAAAGGGTCCAGGTCCGGGTTCAGCCAAAATACGAGGGTCCAGGAGGGTTCAGGGTTCACATCCCTACAAAAACAAAGTGCACAACATAAATACAATATGGGAGAATGTTTATTAATTCATTATTCAATTGTCCATAAAAAAATTAATAGGTTCCATTATTAATTTATTTATCTATTCTTTGTTATATTTTTTAAATATTGGATTGGGGAATTTTATATCAGCCAATAACTGATATTTAAAAGATGAATAATTGGCAATCCGATCTGACAAAAAATATTGGTATATCTCTAGTAATTAAATTTTTTTTTAAAAAAAGAGTTTTTACTTCTGAATAGTCAAATATGGTATTTAAATACTGATATTCTGAGATGCTGACTATAGATAATTTAATATCAGTATTGGTCAATACTTTTAATTTAATCATTAATCCTCATAAAAAATTTGACAAGAAAAAGGAAATTGATCCATAAATTTCTAAAACTGATAAGAAATATTACATTTATATAACTGGCTTTACCCCCCCCCTCTCTCCTTCCTTCACATTTCTAAAAGCACATTCCTCCACAAATTACAATTATCAGCATACAAGAAATGCCATTTTATTTCTTGTGATAAGAGAATGTGAAAATTGAATGGATTCAGTAATTTACCAGAGAAATCCTGTACTTTGAAATTATTTAGTTTATCATAAAAAAAGCTCAAAACATTCATTTTGTATCCTCTAAAAGTGTAATAAGTTCTTTTAATTATCAGCTCCCATAAGGTAAGCTTTCCTGATAAATAAAAGCATGCTTAATATAGAAATATTGCTATAATTTCTTTCAAGATCAGATTAATCTTTATTCCTCTCCCAAACAATATACATTTCATTTAATAAATGGCATGGCATCAAAACAAGAAGATTATATAATTTAAGAGCAAAAAATGGGAATTGAATTATGGCTTTATATATTGTTTTTTTTTGTTAGGAATATAAATAAAACAGAGAAGATTTTTAATATAAGCTAATCAAAATAGTGGCATAACTTGCAGTGAACTGGCAGGGTGGTATATTGGATTCATATATAATAATTTTTAACTCAACCAAAAAACAAGTTCACATCAAGCTAAGTTAGAAAGAAGGGAGATAGAATGGTTAGATATATATGTGGGGCATTCGAGAAAGAGGAAAACAAACAGAGATGAATTGAGGTAGAAGAAACAATAGGTAATTTCATGAGAAGAAATAAACTGAGATGGTTTGGTGAAGATGTTGAATAGAAAGGAAAGGACAATTAGTTGAATGATGTCATTGATTGGAAGTTAAAGGAAAAAGACCCAGAGGGTGTCCAAAAAAGGCTGGATAAAAGTGATAGATTTTTTTTTCTTTCTCTTTAGCTTTCACCTTTTCTGGTGGTAAGCTCATTCAACATCTCTCTCCATTTTATGTTATTAATACAATCTCTTTTATCTAATTTATACTTCTTTATATTGGCTCTAACTTTATGGCCCCATTGAAGTTTTGGCCTTCCTCTTTTACGTTTGCCCATCACTTCCAAACTCTTAACTTTATTTCCTATGTAGTTCATAGGCCTTCTCATTGTGTGCCCATACCACCTAAATCTGTTTACCATTAACTTAGTCTTAATGGGCACTACCTTTAAACTACTTAGTATTCTTGTACTGCACACTTTATCCTTTCTTGTTACCCCAGCAATCATCCTCAGCATTCTCATCTCCATGGTTTGTAGACTTCTCTCGTCTGATTCTTTGGTTGGCCATGTTTCCGAACTATATAGAATAGTTGGTTGTATTATGGAACTGTAAATTTTTCCCTTTAATTTGTGTGGGATTCTTTTATCAAATAGCACTCCAGATAAAGATCTCCACTTTAGCCACCCTTGATTAATCTTACTCTTTATCTCTTTTTCTATTGTGCCGTTTGTTTGTATAGTGGAGCCCAAATATTTGCAGCTTTTAATTGCCAATATCTGCCATTCATTTATATCAATACTCTCTGTTTCATCTCCTCCTATCACCATATACTCCATCTTTTCTCTATTTATTTTTAATTCGTGCGTTTCTAGGATATTTATCCAACTTACTAGTCTTTCTTTCATTTCATCCTTAGATTCGGCAAGTATCACAATATCATCTGCAAATATCATATTCCACGCGACTGTTTGAGGTATAGACTGTGCTAATACATCTATTACTGTAATGAAGAGAAGTGGGCTGAGAGCCGACCCTTGATGAACTCCTTCGGCTATTGTGAAGCCTGCTGAAGTACCTGTTGTGCTACGGACCATTGTTGTACGGCCCATATACATATCCTGTATTATTCTTATATATTTTTCGGGAACATTTTTGTGGCGTAGCACCCACCAGATAAGTTTTCTTGGGATTCTATCAAAGGCCTTTTCTAGATCGAGAAAGACCATGTGTAGCTTTTTGTTCTTTTCCCTGTATTTTTCACTCATTTGTCTAATTGCGTGGATAGCATCGGTTGTTGATCTTCCAGGCATAAAGCCAAACTGAGTCTCTCCTATTTCGATTATATCTCTTAATTTTTTTTCTATAGTTTTTTACAGTGTGACATTAGTTTTATGCCCCTGTAATTTTGACAATTATGTGGATCCCCTTTATTTTTGAAGATAGGAACTAGATAGCTCTGCCTCCATTTTTGGAGAACCTCTTCATTTCCAAGTATCCTATTGTATAGATTTGTGAGGAAATGTATTCCATCATCTCCTAGTGCTTTAAGGCTTTCTATTGGAATATCGTCTGGACCCCTAGCTTTGCTGTTTTTCATATGCTTGAGGCATGTGATTATTTCTTGTTGTGTTATAGGTTGTACAAGGTTTTGTCAAGGAGGGGGTTCGTTTAGATGCAGTATGTGCGGATTAAAGTTGAGAAGCTCCTGAAAATATTCTCTCCATCTACTCATTATTTCTTTTTCCTTTATTATCATTTCCCATCTTTATTTTTGATTACTTTCGGAGCTCCGTTAATGACATAAAAATGCTAGTATTAACCCAGGGCTACAGAAAATGGATAGAGGATTATGGAAAAGGGCAATAAAGGCCAGCACAGACCTGTCCAGCTCTTGGAAATTTTTTTATCAAGTTTTTTGGCCTGGTTTGTAAAAATTTTACCCAACTAAGCCTGTAAAATATATTATGTAATAAGAGTCAGTCTATAATAATTTTTATAAAAAAAACATGTAAATTTGCCTAATTATCTACCATAAAAATATTTTGTATAATTTGTCTGGCCTAATCTTAAATTGTTTTAGCCAGCAAAATGCAGGCCAGGCTGCTTATCCTAATAATCTATGGAAGATTGGGAGGGAGTAATATTAGAATTATATTTAAAAACAGAATTTTAGCAAGGAACTAAGTAATTTTCTTTTTAGCATTTATGGCAAGGAATAAGAGAGATGCACATATCCTATATAATTACTTAGTAGCAGTATCAGGCAGATACTCACAGCATTGGCAAATACTTTAAATTTTAACTGACACTCAAATGATAATACCCTTCATAATTTTTTTTTTTTTTAAATTTAGTCTTTATTTAGCTAGTTTTTAAAAATTAATCTAATATCTAATAGAAAAATGGTGATATTAATATTTTAAGAAGTTTATAAATAATGAATAAATAAAAAATGATAATTTTGATTAATTTTTTTTTAAAAATACATTATTTTTGGTCTTGGGAATGAGTAAATATTCACTAATATAATGTTAGTAACTGTGATATTTGCTCTAAAAAAGTTGTGGGAGTGTATCTCAGAAGAATAATTTGTATATAAAACAATAGTTATGGTTAATGTACTACATTTGTCACAAGGTTTTTCTAAAATATTAATTGGCTGATGACTATTTTATTGTCAAAATTAATGAATGAAGTAAAGATTCATGGGGGACCCTCGAAAATGCTCAAAGTAAAAATGAAAGATTCAAACAATGTTTTAGACTCAAAACTCATAAATTCTATAAAAAATTAACTTTATAATAAACTATTGCATAATACCTTTTGTACATATATATATTTATTTTTAAAAAAAAATTTACAAAAGGATGGTCTTTTCTCCATGCTTTTCTTTCTTCTGAAAGTCTGCTAATAGCTATTCCGCTCATTTTTTCTTTCAAATAAGAGAATATTAATAAATCCACGAGAAAGAGTATTATAATAAATTACAATTAATAAAAAATACACCAAATAATATATTAAACATTGTAATAAATGGGCGTAGTATATTATTTAAAAAAGGAACATTCTAAGAGTTTCTTATTATTATAAAAAATTATTATTAAATCTTATATGATTATGATTAGAATAACTGTAAATATATATATGATCTACTAAATCTATCACAGTTTTCTATTCCGTTTTCTAATGGCTATGGACAGGTAGAAAAAATAAAAATATTTATGGATATTCTAGCCTTATATGATGGGGAATTAATCTTAGGGGTTTCGCATTAAATAAAAATGATTTAGCAGATAAAAGAAAACTGGCGGACTTATCCACTGTTAAATTTTATAAAAAGAGTTCAATATTCTGTTATTTGTTTTATAGGTGCCAGCTTTCTTTTATAAAATGTCCCTCCAACATATAAAGACATCTTTTTAACATTTTTTGTTAATAAAAATATTGAATTAGTAGATCAGGATTTATCTTTAAGGAGATTAAATTAATATGTTTTAAAAATTTTTGCTGACTCTACTAGACTTTGAAAAACAATGGAAATTTTACTAAAGTTGAGGATAAAATTAGAAAAAATTGGCAAGTGCTGCCAATATCTTAATGATATCAACGAGTGTTTAGAGACCAACCCCAGACCAAGTCATACCCATTAAGACCCAGAATGTAAATCTACGACATATAATATTCCATTGTTTGTATTGTGCTTTAATTTTTTTATTTAATTTATGATTTAATTTTATCAAAAGTTTTATAATTATATTTTACTTTTATTAAGATAAATAAATTAAAATTAATAACTTTAAAATTATTATATTTGATATATTATATTATTTAGTAATTTTATGGATCTATTATTAATAATTATAATACATTTCACTTTTGTCTTAAGACTTATCTTTGGTATATATTCCATTTCTTAAAAAACATTTTTGGTTCAATTTTTTTATATATAAATGCTTTTTTCCAAAAATGTATAAATTATGATGAATAGTTTTATAAAAAAAATATCAACTTTTACATTCTTTCTTTCAAATTATTGTTTAAGATATATGCATACATTTTTGAGGGTCAGGAAGTGAGGCAAGGACTAAGGGGGATATTTTTTATTAGCTTAAAATAATATATTTTTTATTAGCTTAAAATGATATATTTTTTATTAGCTTAAAATGATATTTACAAGTGATAAATTTCTGACCCTCGCCCCCCCCCCCCGACTACGCCTATGAATAATTGTTAAAAGTATAATTATTAAGTTTATTAAACATCATGAATTATTAAATTATTAAAATAATCATTTTAACATGTAGATAATTAAGATAATAATTTATAATATCATTAAATAGATAGTGGTTAATTTTATATTGAAATAACAAATAAGAATGCTTAACAAAAATATAATTAAGATATTTATTTATTTATCATTAAATGGATGATGATAAATTTAGATAAAATTAAATTTTTATATGCCTAAAAAATGAAGAAATATATAAGATAGGTCTTTTGCAATATTTTATATTTATAATAAAATTCTTAAATAATAAATTATCACCAGTCAACACATAGTATATGGAGGAGGGTCAATACCAATGACATTAATACTATAGAATGCCGATTAATATATTTGAAGTGGCAAAAATTGAATGTAGCGGCCATTTTGTGTTTGGAGCTTTTAGGAAAGAAACGTATGATAATTTCATAAATTTCAGATTTATTTTTATTATACATTATATTTATAATCCTATTTTTTTACTAAATGAATAAAAAACATTTTTAAAGCAAGTAATTTATAATTATTTAAATATTTTCTGGTCTTTATTAACATTTACAGAGAAAGTATAGGTGATGTTTAATACATAATGAATATTATTAGACTAAGCAAGTTAGAATATATACCTATTGATGAGAATATAATTAAATATTCATGCTCTTTATTAACATTTGCAGTTTATTACTTAATGAATATCTTTAATATTTTGTATAGACTAATCAATATAAAAGAAAATCTCTATATTAATAAGAATAAAGTTTAAAATTTTGTCATTTCCAGAGAAGTAATGAATTATTGTTTTCTTTAATACTTCAAGAATATCTTTAAGATTTTAAAATATATTTAGACTTATCAAGTTAGAATGAATATTTTTTATAAAAATTAATTTTATATTTATATATTCAATAACAAAAATCAAAGTGAGGAAAGATATATTATGATTTGAAATTTATTATAAAATTTAATATATTTTTAATATTTTAAGAAAATGTTAATATATTGTAGTGCATATGGCTGTAACCAAAAATATTGTTCAGGAAGCAAAATTTCCTTTCATAAGTATATTATCTCAAATTAAATATTCACAATTAAATCTAAAGATGCAGCTTATATTAACCTATTCTTTCTTGTAAAAATTATTATGTCATATTTGCTATGAAAATATTTAACATGTGATTTGGAATTTTAGAAATTACTCCAAAAGCAAAATTGAATATATATGATTTTATTGATAAATATTTTAAATTATATAAAAAAAAATTTTGATATAATTTCTTTTGTATTTATTTTTTTAGTAAAAAGAGGTTATATTTTATAATTTATAAGTCTTTTTTTATATTTTATTATTGCTTTGAATTATGTCATTCCTTAATAATTATAACTATCCATTTCTAAATATATTTATTTAAATTTAATTCACTAAAGCACAAAAATCAATAATGAATATGTATATTGTGAAAAATAAAATAATCTTATTAATTTTTACAATAATAAATACAAATAATATATATATGTTATATTTACTTCTAATAAAATAAATGTATTATTATAACTAAAAGTATATGGTATAAAGTTTAGTTTTTTCTTACAAATAATCACCATAATTTTTCCTTGACCTATAAATATTTAAGTTAAATAACATATTTAAATAAAACTTGATTTATGCCCTTGAAAAAGTACAATTCTGTTAAATTTTTGTCTAAAATCTAATTTTAATTTTTGATTACATTAGGCAATAATCAAAACAGTATAACCATAAATGCTCTAAAAATGTTTTTTATTCATCGTAAAACATGTAAGATTATAAATATAATACATTATAAAAATAAATCTGAAATTTATGAAATTATCATACGTTTCTTTCCTAAAAGCTCCAAACACAAAATGGCTGCTACTCAATTCAATTTTTGCGACTTCAAATTTGATTTTAGCATTACGATCGGCAGTCTATAGTATTAATGTCATTGGTCAATACATACTATTTTAACTGTCCAGATTAATAACTTTCACATAACCTCATCTAGTTCATAAACTATTATAGATATAGCTAATTAAAGATTAATAATTAGGCTACGTATTGATATAAAATTTGTCTGGTTAAACCCAAATCTTAATACCCTTTTTTCAAAAAAAGCAAAAACATGGCCATTTATGGCACATTTCTATGAGTAAAAAAAACGGTTGCTCGCTAAACACAAATAAAAAAAAATGATGATGTTGAATTGGTTTTATAATTAAACAAATTTTATAGTTGATATTTCAATTGTCTTAATTTATATAAGAAATAAAAATATAACCTTATTTTTTTATCCAACAATATAGTGTCTAAAACCAACGAAACACAAGTATCTACATTTTACATTATCATTTTATAATGAATATATGAATATATTTTTTTTGTTGCCGAATAGGCTTTAAATTCATATGTAAATACATTCATGCTTCAGGCTACACCTATAACTAAATACAAGCTATCGGATGTTAAGATGCTTCTATGGCGGGAAATGGACATTATAGCGGGGTTTATTTATCCCACTGCGCAAGAAATGGAAATGTTTGAGGATTAAATTCCTGGATAAACTCTTTTTAAATGGCGTAGATGTTTATATATTTTTAAAAATATGTTACCATAACAACTTACAAGAGTTACTTGAATAAAAAAATATCTGATTAATCAGAGAATTTTATTTATTTTACAATATTTTAAAAATATTTATAAATTAAATTAATATGAATAAGCTATAAAAAATATTTCAAGGTTATAAGATTTACATTTTTTATCCAGATTTATGTATATTCTTCAAATTAATATCTTTATATTTTATTTATAGACCACCGAGTCCATTAAAGAAATTAACGCAGAAAAATTAGTTTTCCAAACTTTAGCTAATTCTGAATACATTTTCTATTATGAGGCTCCTAGCAAATAACTCTTAGAAGATTTTAATTACTCGTTTTACCAGATGTAAAATAAAATGATATTATATTTTTATTTTAATTCATACTTAAACATTAATCTATGTTAAAAAAAATATTAAACAACTTTTTTAATACAACTTTTTTATTATCACACTTTACATAAAAAAATATAAAATGTTTTGTCATCACATTTTTCTTTTGCTTAGTTAAAAATATTCTAAGTAGAATAATTTTAAAAATAATGATATGTAAATTAGAGATCTGCATTGGGCAGGATTTACGCCCGCCCATACTTTGAATGGATATGGTCGGGTTTTTTTAAATATTTTCAACATTGGGCGGGTGGCGGGAGGCTTGAAACATTTTTTAAAGTAATGGACGGGTAAATTTTTCATATTTTTTTAGGCGAAATGAGCGACTTCAATTTATTAAAAATATTTATTTTATAATATTGCATATTATATATGTTTAATTAAAAATACATTTAAATTAGACCTGTGCGCCGATGAAATTTTCAAAAATCTAATCGACGGCCGGCGGCGCGCCGATTTTTAGCCACCATCAACAAAATCGGCGCAGTTATAAATTTTTATAACATAAAAAAAAATTTTAAAAAAACTTATATACACTACTCTACAGATATCTCGGCATATTTTTTAATATTTATTTAATAGAACATTCATTATAAATCCAAAATCGATTTCGTAATTTTATAATTATCATGTATAAAAATTATTTTATTTAAATTTTCGGGACATAATGATGATCTCCTTGAATTTAACGTCATTCCA